TATGAGAAGGATAGAGATGCGACGGTCAGGAAAAAACCACGTAGTTTCTTTCCCTTGGCTTAGGGGGGGAAATCCAATCTTTCCAACCAATATCTAGGTTAACGAAAAATGATTAAGAATCAGCTGGGAGAGGAAAAGAAAGGGAACATATATACGCAGGAGAACAGAAAAGAAAGAAAGATAATGATGAATATATGATAACACACAGGGATATGTAACACTGACTAGCAACTGAAAATGCATCGATTTGAGCTGATCATTTGTCCTTCTCCACCTATTTTCTACTAACGAAAGATCATTTATACGATGTTTTGATACTAAAATGCACCTGAAGTCACGCTTTATTGATCACACTATGAATGAACTGATTGGCTTCTGAGTTCATCTGAGAAGAAATGTCTGTCTTCTTAGCTCACAATTCGAAAAAAATCTTATGATGATGGTCAAATTTCTAAAGAGCATAACTACTCATAATTTAAGACTTCATCGCACCATTTATGCACAGTTAGGTTTGCCTGCTCAGACACTACAAAGCCTGATAATTGTTATATTTCTTTGTGAGAAAAAATTAAATGGGTCACAACTGTTTCTTAAGCGCCCTCGTCCTTTATTTTTCAACAATATGATAAAATATATTGTTTTATTTAGCATTGCTGTATATGATCTCGGTGGTGGTACATTTGATATATCAATTCTTGAAATGCAATCAAATGTATTTGAGGTACGTTCAACAAATGGTGACACATTTTTAGGTGGTGAAGATTTTGATAATGCATTACTTAAACATCTTGTTGCTGAATTTAAAAAAGACGTATGTTGTATTTTTTGTTAAGAATTCTTTTTTAAATACATGAGGTGGTTTTTTTAAAGAGTGGAATTGACATAACAAAAGATCCACAAGCTATGCAACGTTTGAGAGAAGCTGCTGAAAAAGCTAAATGTGAATTATCATCGGCTGCACAAGTATGAATAAGAAGTTTTATTACAAAAAAAAATGAATTTTATTTTCTATTAAGACGGATATTAATTTACCTTATTTAACCATGGATTCATCTGGACCAAAACATATGAATTGTAAAATAACTCGAGCACAATTCGAAAATCTTGTTGCTCATTTAATTAAACGTACAGTTGGTATGTATTGACATTTTTTTCAAATGCAAAATAATCTTATGTATTTATTTTTTTTTTATTTAGACCCATGTAAAAAAGCTATTAAAGATGCTGATGTTAAACTAACAGATATTAATGAAGTTATTCTTGTTGGTGGTATGACTCGAATGCCTAAAGTAAGCAGAAATTTAATTTCTTAAACTAAACTTTTCATATTTATCTTAAGGTTCAACAAACTGTTCAAGAACTTTTTGGTAAACCACCAAATAAATCTGTTAATCCCGATGAAGCTGTTGCTATGGGCGCTGCTATTCAAGTCAAGTTTTAATAAATTTCTTGTTCTATTTATTTTTTTTCTAAATACATATATAGGGCGGTGTACTTGGTGGTGATGTAACTGATCTTCTTCTTCTTGATGTTACTCCACTTTCATTGGGTATTGAAACATTAGGTGGAGTTTTTACAAAACTTATTAACCGTAATACAACTATTCCAACAAAGAAGAGTCAAGTAAGTTTTAATATATCTATGGGATATATCCATTCTTCATTTGACTTTGATTTTCTTTTGTTTTACAAAAGTTAGTTTTCTGAATAAGTTCTTTTAGCATAGACATATGTGAAAATGTTGACTGACTATTAATTAAAAAGTAATTAAAGAATATCTCTCTAACTATAAGAGAAAAAATTTCAGACTAAATTACGATATTAATCGCATCTACAATTTTATATTCATACTCTGTCTAAAGCTCATCGGATTGGTCTCAGATCCAGTAGTGTTGTATTCAGATTTTCTCCTCTGAGGAGCGTGGTCCTCTCGACCTTCACGCTGGATAAAACACTGGGATCCGGCTCCGAAATTTTTCGATCCAATAGACTCTAACATCGTCACATCGCTGACGAAAAATCTAGATATGCTAAGAAAAACCTTTCGATTGAGATTCTGTAGTCTCAGAAGTTGTCTATGTTTAGTTTTCAAAACTGCTGCCTCAATTCAGAGTTTCCTTAAATGAAATGGCATGAAATGTAAGTTGATGTCATTTTTAACGCTACGATTTTTTTCTACTGACAACTTCTCTGAACAAATGTCCATAGCGCTGCTTTTTCTCAGAATGTCTACAATAACTTAACATATAAAAATCAGTTTTAGGAAAGTTCATTATCTTGAGATATATATGTTTTAATTTTGCGAAGTTATGGTGCTAACGAATGACTTTATCCATATACAGTGAAATGAATAAAAAAAAATTTTCTATTTCTTTATTAGGTCTTCTCAACAGCTGCCGATGGACAAACACAAGTCGAAATTAAAGTTCATCAAGGTGAACGTGAAATGGCTGCCGATAATAAATTACTCGGAAGATTTAATTTAGTATGTTTTAAAGTTTATTTTTAAAATTAACTAGGTTTTTTTTCTCTTCGTATAGGTCGGTATTCCACCAGCACCTCGTGGGTAAGAAAATTGATATAAAACGTCGTAGAAAAATTGAATAATTTTTTTATTTTAAAATAGTGTTCCTCAAATTGAAGTAACATTTGATATTGATGCTAATGGTATTGTTCATGTATCTGCACGTGATCGTGGTACTGGAAAAGAACAACAAAGTAAATTATATCGAATATTTAAAAACAATAAATAAGAAATGTTTTTTTTTTTTTATAGTTGTTATTCAATCAAGTGGTGGTTTAAGTAAAGATGAAATCGAAAATATGGTACGTGCTGCTGAAAAATATTCAGCTGACGATAAGAAACGACGTGAAATGGTTGAAGAAGTTAATCGTGTTGAATCAATTTTACATGATACCGAATCGAAAATGGAAGAATATAAAGATCAATTACCATCGGATGAAGTATAAAATTTGATTATTATTATTTCGAAAAAAAAAAACGAATATTTAATTTTCTTTCTTTTAGTATTCGAAATTAAAAGAAGGGGCTTCTAAATTACGTGAAAAATTATCAAATAAAGATAATGAAACAGTTCAAGGTGTTAAAGAAGCAGCCGATGAATTTCAACGTCAAAGTTTGAAATTATTCGAAACTGCTTATAAAAAGGTATAAATTTAGCATTGTATTTTGTGTTAGTTTTTATACTTTGTGTGTTTTTTTTAGATGCAATCGGATCGTGAAAGTTCACAATCTTCATCAAGTAGTTCATCATCATCCGATGAACAATCGTCTGATGACGATAAAAATAAACAAGAACAACAAAATAAATAGGCCATTTATTAATCATTAAGTTTTTCAATACCAACTCACTGTCTTCATTTTTTTTTTGTTTTTGTTTTTGTCTATCGTTGTAATTGCTGTTTTTCTTTAGTTCGGCATTCTATTAAAAAGAAACATCGTTTCTCAATGAAATAGAAAAAAAAACAACTATTTTAGTTTAATTATAAACAAGATAATATATAATGAATGATATGATTAGAAATATTGTGTATTGTATCTAAAAGATCAAAAATGAACAGATTTTCCTTATTAGATTCAAATTTAGAAGAGTTTTATTTCATTTAAAAATGGTTAAAAATGAGCAGAGAGCTATTTCAATCAATAACATATGGGGGCATAGCTCAGTGGTAGAGCGATCGCTTCGCATGCGATAGGTCGTGAGTTCAATCCCCACTGCCTCCACTTTTTGCTGTTTTCTTCCATCTTATGAAAATCTTTTGTTGATGACGTTATATATAAGGTGAGTCATAAATAGCATAAGATGGGTTATTTTCTTTGGTAAATTTATGCAAAGTTTTTTTTTTTTTCATACGGACAAGATAAGCAAATACTACTGTTAAGTATTATTGTTGGTATTATGAAAGAAATCTCATCTGCTATCCAGTAAGAAAAATACATGTGAAGCATTTCATAGATAGTTTTCAGTTTTCATCTAAGAGAATAATAAAAGAAAATTTAAGGAATAGTTGTGATTGTGAGTTTTACGCATAGGATACAAATAAAGATGTACGGAATCAGTCCTGGACACGCCCATAGAGATCGAAATTCAATTTTATAGTAAAATATCATATGATTTTAAGCGAGTTATCTAATTAATCATCAATCAGAACATACGTCAGGAGAGATGACCTAAAAAGTACTTGCCATCTACTACCAAAATCGTAAAAATGAGTATTGAAGAGTTATTTTAGACGCCATACAAATAAAAGCTGGGAATAGGTTTCTCTAAACTGAGACTAGGACTACACCAGGTTTACTGTGACCAAAAAAAGGTTGGTCGCGAACATCACTAGACAGTACATTTACTAAATAGTGTTGAAAACTTACTTTGTGCATCAATATAGCATCATTCATAAAATTTATTTTGACTGTTTCTTATTTATTTAGATGACCACGGATAATTATCCATAAAATACTTCATATATATTTTTCTTATTTGACAATAGGTAAAATTTTTTTAGTGAGACCAAAATGTAACTTGACAGCAGCATTTATTCACGTTATTCGCAATGAAAAAAAAACTTTAAAATAAACTTTTACCACTAGCAAAAAAAGATTAGCTCATTGAAGCGAAGAGATTTCAGTTTTTTATCGTAACACTATTTATTGCCGACCTCGTTCATTAGCAACATATGTATAATTCGTTGATTGATCCTTATTTACAATGTTATTTTAGTAATGAACGTATTTGATCTGATTTAAAACATGCTGAATTAGTACAAAAAATAAAAATAATAATTAATTTTTTTTTTCCTTGTCAATATTATTTAGATTAGTCGTCGAGATGAAATTGTATTTGATAGTAAATATCGATTAAAATTAACTCGATGTGAACATAGAAAACATGTTCGACAAATACTTGTTGAAAATGTTGTTCATCCATACAAAAAATTCTTTTCTTTCTTTTCCAATTTTTTTTTTTTGTCAAAGCAATTGATATGAAACGAGCACGACTAGCAGAATTAAGACATCATTTAGATATGGTAGCTAAAGTAGCATTGGTTAATAGTGTTAAATTAAAAAATTTTTTATTTTATTTTTTGCTGAGCAACCATTTGTACAATCCGTTCATATTCATGATGATCTTTTAGTGTTCAACGATCATTATCACCATCAGTAAAATATTCTTCTTTTTTTTTTGCTTATTTCAAAATGAATTTTTTTTTTGTTTCTCTAATTGAGCAACAATCACGTTCGCCAACGAAATCTACCGATTCTTCCTTATCAAATCTCCATGTCAAATAACAATGATTTATTATGGTCCACATACAAAGTTGATTATGATCATTCATTATTCGAATCAATTGATGAAATAATGATGATATTACAATATAATGGAGAAGAAAATTTACTTGTTTATAAAGATAATCTTAAAGTTGAAGAAGAATTTATATTTAATTCTCGTTGTTATTCTGATTAATGATGTTGGATAATATGATTAATTTTGTCTTTGAAGGGATTCAACAAGGAAATATTCTGAAAGTACAAAATTTTATACATCGAAAGAATGTTTAATGATAATTGATCCTCAAAGAGAAAAAATAGTTCTTGAGCGTTTATCGACTAGTGTTTGAGTGAAAAATGTTCGCTAAGAATTATGTTTTTCTTTCATTGCAAAAAAAATTAGTTTTGTTTTTCTAAGATCGGACAGTTGTCCTGTTAATTCAACAATAAAATCTATAGTTCAACGTACAAATATATTCGAAACAGAAACTAACAAAAAAAAAAAAAGGAAAATTTCAAGTAAACCGATAGTTAATACACCTGTTAAAACAATGGCAAATAAAATCAAAGTTTCATCTGAATCGGATCCAGTACCTGTATCAACAAATACAGTCGGTTATATGACGACCATCACATACAATCCATGGTTAGATAGATTTGCTAACTTTAATTCAAAGAAATTCATTTTTGTTTGTTTAGAAAAAGATCTTCAACCTGCGTGATACGATAGATGACGAAGAAAATAATTAATTCATTTTTTTTCTTCGATCGGAACTTTGTTTTTTATTTTCAGATCTGAATTCGATGAATAAAATTGATCGAGCTATTTTATTTTCTCGTAAGTTTCGAAGTTGTTGAATTGTTTTTGAAATCTAAGTTTTTTTTTTCGATTTAATTCGAATGTGAATTTTTTATTGAGTACCGTTTGTTTAAGTCAAAATAGATATGATTGTTCACTTCGTTTAGGAAATGAATTAGAAAAAAAAAATATCGAGTTAAAACTGTTGAACAACCAAATGTTTCTTCAACACAATATATTATTTTCAAAAATGGAAATTTACAAACAAAATTATTTGTAAAAAAAATACGATTAGAGTAGAAATAGAAATATGAAAGCTAACATCTATATCATACTCTACAAATTCAATAGACAAAAGCCGCTGATACTTTAGGCAGTGAATAGATTTTTGTTTCGTGTATAGAATTATCAATTACGATGAATGTTCGATTCGTCTCAATCTTTTACAGACAGTTAGCTAAAGTTATTGTATAGCATCAGTCCTTGGTAGAGCCCGTAGAGTCCAAGAATTTCTGAACCCGAAACCTATCGATCAAATTATTTCGGACTCGGACCCGATCGATAAAATCTTTTTATTTTGGATTCGAATCTCAGTTTTGATACGTTTCATTACTCTTTAGTAGGTCTAAATTCTCATTGTGCTCGTAATAGTCTTAATGGATTTTTTTGAGAAGAACTTGCTTTTGATCGATTAACAATATCAAATAAAGAATTACAAGCACCATGTACACCTAAAACAAACGTGAAGTTTTTTATTTTATTGAATATTTTGTTGATTTTTAATTTTATTTTTTAGACTGCATAACTTCAAGATGGATATATTGATTCAGGAAAGAAGACTAAAAAAGCTCTTTATACATCTATTCTTAGTCAATTTGATCAAGGAAATCCTGATGAATATTTCGATTATCAAAATCGCATACCAACACTTAAAAATTTAGATACGAATTTATCAAGTAAATCTTTATTTATTTTCCATTTCAAAATAAAATTTCTTTTAAAATGATAATCATGTGTTAATTCATAGTTATGGATGTAGTGTTGCTCATCGACAAATTCCAATAACTCCTCTTCGTCAACTAGAATTAAAAAGTAAATCTATTCAATATTCTACAAATAAACAACTTTTTCTTTTCTTAACTTTAGATGAATCCTCATTACCTATAAAACAAAAAGAATCTTCTACAACAATAATGATTCTATCTCAACCTCAATCATCACCAATTATTCATTTTGCTAATGTAAATAAATATCCTAAAATCATTTTTGAATTTATTTTTTCGTTTTTTTTTTTTGTTTAGATTGTTCGTTCATCAAGCAACACTATCTACAAAAACAGTCATTTTTTCTTCTTCAACAACAATATGCTGTATTAGATAATCTTCCTCAATCAACTCCAATATCATCTTCAATATTACCATTAAATATTCTTGATAATCCACGTCCAAAAGAAATTCCAAATGAAAAAATGACCCCATTAAAAACAAAACTAACAATTCGATTTGAATTATGTGAGGAAGAGAATGATGATAATAATAATAATGATTTAATTTTATCAAATATTCAAAGAAATAATTGATGAAATTAAAGTTTCAATAACTAATGATCAAATTATTTATCGACCACCACCACCACCACTTCTTGCACTCTCTCAAACTATTCGAAGAAAATATCTTGAACAATTAATTGAAATAAAATTAAATAATCAATTACGATCTATTAAAGATTTACCAATTTCACCAACAAATTATTCATTTGTTTTTCATGGAATTATATCAACGTATATTTTGAGAATAAAAAAAAAAAAAAATTTCATTTTTTTTTTTTTTTTTGATGACAATTAGAAGAAGCAAAATGATTATCACGTTGTATAGGTGATTGTTTTTCATTTAAAACAATTAATTTGTCAACAACACATGTTATTTTAGATGATGATGATCTACAAATGACATTAACACTTGATCTATTTCTTGCATTGATTTATGGATGATTAGTTTTCAATTATATTAATTAATTAAAGGGTGTGGGTGTGGGTGTGTTTGGATCAAGAGAGGATACCCGCCCACATCCCAAAACAAACATATTCTTGCTACGAGATTTACATTTTCAAGAAACATCTTTTTTTCGGTTGTGTTTCAAAAGAAAGATATTTCTGTGGGAATTTGATATCTTGATACAGATACAGTTGTCTTCACTTAAACTTTGAGATGTTTTTAATAACTATCAGATTTATCCATAAACAAATCTATAGCTCGAAATTTGATCATCCAAGTTTTCAACGATCCTATGCTCATATGGCAAAAATTAAGTAAAGCGTCCATCACTCAACATGCATTCGGAATGTTCCTTCGTAAGATTAAATATTACTCATGCTAGTATTTTTTTCCTTTTAAAAGAATAAACTCTCATTTTAATTTATCATTAACAATAAAATTCAATTGCATTGAAATCATTCGACCATGAAATCTATCTATATTTTTATTAAAGAATACATAAATGAATATAATTAAATTTTAATGATATATTGGAAAAAAAAGTGACAATCACGTATACTTATACATAAAAGAGAAAGGGATAAAATTGCACATAATCTGGAAGTTAATGAATATAACTGTTTTTTTTTTGTTCGTTTTAAAATTAAGCTCGTGATTCCACTGGTCGTTGCCCTAATCCATTACCTGGCAAATTGCTATTATTTCCTGCACTAATATCCGCTTGTTTACCAAGATAATCCCTAAAATGTATTTAAAAAAAAATCATATTACTTTTTTCATTCATTAAATATATATGACGCAAACGCAAGGAGAAGGATAAAAGTGCGTTATGTATCAAAAAAAAATGCAAAATAAAATTAAAAAGAAAATAAAAAAAATAAGAAATTATTAGTAAACGTGCTTTCCTACACAGTCGTTATCTGTTTCTCATTAAAAGATCTGCCATTTGCCTATGAATTCGATGACATATATATTTATTTTTATTGAATTCAATGATGAAATTTTTTTTCTTCTTTTCATTATTTTTCTTACCAATTATGAACCATTAATTTTTGAACACAAAGTAAACCTTGATACCGAACATTGGAATCAGGATTTTCTAATAAACGCATAATGATAACTTTACCATCGAGTTTATCAATGGCTCTAAATTATTTTTCTGAAGAAAAATCTTTTTCTTTTAAATAATAATTTAACATACCTTTTTCCATGAGGATAATGTCGAACATATTCTCCGATATCATGCGCAGCCACACATAAAACCAATGGTTCTTTACTTTGTTCAAGTAAACGAAGAAGCATTCTAGAATTTTCGAAATAAATAAGTTTTCAATAATATTTATTATATTGGATTCTCTCATACGAATGTTTCCGTGATTCTTATGCATCTTTCGATGTGTAAATGTCTCACATCAAAAACACTGAGAAAAATTCAAGTGATAACTTCTATGGTTAGTAGAAGTAGATCTTAAAGAACAGAGATGCAACGATAATGATAACCGATTTCACGGTGAACACGTTAAAGAAATTAGGCCGGATTTTTTGGTACGGACTGTCAACCTGGGTCTAAGTTTACCTTATTAATCTCCATACAAAGCCTTATTTCTATGAATAGTTGATATGCTGTGTAGTGTTCAGTACTAAATTTTCTTGCTGAGTACTATGATGTCCTGTTATTTATAGACATAAGAGTTTTAATAGGGATTAATGAGGTAAACTTGGATTTACTTTAGAATTTAGGTGACCCGTCGAAAATATACGACGAAGACTGGTATGTTACTTAATTTAAACTTCTTCAACAAAACAGTGACTTATGGTATTAAGAATCTACTCTTCACTGTTACATCCCTATAGAGGAGATCGTAACAAAATATTTAACTACAAGTTAGCAATTTTACTTATGAAAAGATATAATGTGTTATAAAACTTTCATTAAAGGCTAATTCTATCTTCTCTAAACATTGAATTTTAATTGAAAAGCTTATTTCTGATTTCTTTTTTCCATCGGAAAATAGAGTCCCTCAGGTTGGTTCCTGATCCGATAGGCTCTAGTAGTCTAAGAAATGTGTCGGACACACTAATCACCGAATACGGTTCGATCAGGTCTGGGCCCATCCGATGGACTCTATTGGAGAAGCTTCATAAACTTATTGATTTACATATTTATCAAAATTCATTCTTTTTAATATCCAAAATTTTAACGTAATTATTCTTAACTATGTATCACTTTTTGCAATTACCTCAATAATTCAAAATTAGATTCATTTAATTTTGCAGCATTTTCTACCCAAAATTTTTCCATTTGGTGAACCGGTGTCCATGAAAGACGGCCTGAACGAATTTCCACTGCATATTCATCGAACGAACTAAAATTTTAAAATGAATTTTTAATTCATTCTACATTTGTGTTTTTCTTTTAACTTACGTAACATCTGCTAAATTTCCTTCAAGTTTCTCTTTTATTAATTGAACATTGTCATTAATATCATCATCATCAAATTTTTTATTACTAAGTAATTCTAATGGTTTAACAAGTCGACATGCGATCATTGTCATAGCATTATCACGCATTACTTTGTCATTTTCTGGTTTTTCAAGTAAATTCTATTAACATTAAAAAAACAAAAATTAAGAAAACAAAAACAAAGGAAGATCCTATTTATTTAACTTACTCTTAAAAATGCCACTATCATACGTGTTACTTTTTCTTTTTGAGTTTCAGCGAGAATTTCACTAAGACGTGGAATGACAGTATATCTTAATTAAATTCTATGTCGTCAATTGTTTTCTAATATTTATTTAAAACTTACTTAGACATAATAGCAGCAATATTACGATTAAATGTCAATACCCATAAACAGAATATCAGTTGATATTGTACTTGAAAACCAATCGTAGCATTGTTTAATACTTGCATAATGCTAAAATAATAGAATTATGAGAGAAAAAAAAATCTATTCGATAAAAATTTACCTTGGAATACCATCAATAGCAACAAATGCTTCACGATATGGTTCAATACGTAACATCATTTGTAAACTTCGACAAACACTTTGTAAATATTCATTACCCTATAATAGGATAATTCTTTTTTTTTTTTTTTCAAAATTCTAATAAATGAAAACCAACGTACTTGAGGTTTAAGTTGTTCTTTTAGCCAAGCTAAATAATATGATAAATCAGATGATGGCATTCGTTCAACACTCCAACAAGCAAGTTTTGCAATAATTCGACTTGTCTATGAAATAAAACATAAAACAAACAAAACTTTCATGTTGTTTTTTACTTGATAAACAACAAATTGATCTTGATTAGAAAACATATTAAAAAAATATGACCATAATTGTTCTTTTTTCATTTTAGCATATGTATTAAATATTTCCACTCGACTTTTATCTTCCTATTGGAAAAAAAAAATTTCATAGTTGATTTTAGATTTTTTTTTATTTAATAAATTTACTCGAAGACATTGATCCATTAATGTAAGTAAATATCTAAGTGTTTGTTGTTTAAATAATTTTGACATTAATGTTAAAAATGTTTTCGCACACTAAAATAAAACAAAAAAAAAAAAGATTCATAGTCTTATTGAAGATCAGGAAAGTGTGATATCTTCCTCCTGCTACTAAAATTCATTCACACAATATCGGACCTTGTGATTTTATAATTTGTCTAAGCAGTGTCTCACTTTCGACTCTAATGCTGAGTTATGCATTTTTATTTACTTGATTTCTTGCATTAGGATCCAATAGAAGTTTACTTCGTCCGTCTAGATTTAATTGATCAAAATTAGAGATAAATTCATAATCATCTTTTGTTATCATTTGTCCTTGAAAATATGATTGCCATTTCGGTTTTTGACGCATCACTTCTTGTGCTTGTTTTTGAAGATGACTAATTGCATCAGTCACTAATTAAAAGAAAGAAAATTCTTTAAAAAACAAGAACGAAAAGCATAAAACTAAAAATTAATACTCGATTCAAGATCATCAGGTAAGTGATGGCTGGTTTTAAATTGATTAAGATCATCACTTAGACGACGAACTAAAGCTTCTTTTTCTTGAGGTGATTGAGTCATGAAGACTGTATTCAGAAAAAAAGAAATAATCAAACTAAAAAAGAAAAACAAACGTGATAGAGCATGACAAGCATTATTAACTAGTATATATAGAGAGAGGACAAATTATCTAGATAAAACAGTGTCACTTTTATTTTATATGATGATGTGTGAAAAAATTGTTTTGCAAAAAGTAAATAGTCATAACGATTCTATTTAGTTGGTTGAACTGTTAACCAATAATATAGAAGCAAATATTTTTGTTAATGTTCATGTAAATTAAAAACAGGAACGTGCCGAGGTCGCTACGATTGGAAGGAAAGGAGGTTGATGACTCAGGAGATGAATTGCAAGATTTTTCCTAAGGTTGATCAGATTTAGAGAAAGCAGTTAAGCGTGCTTTCGGAAATTGGTAAGCAAAAAAAAAGAACAATAAACATTGGAATCACAATAAAATAGAACGAAAACTTTTGAATATTAGGAAGGTGTCACATCTCGCTCCGACACTTCTGACCAGAACCTTATATATGAAAACTATTGAAAACAGCAATGAATTGGATATGATATAGTAATAGTAGATGGAAAAAATGCTGTTATCATTTTGTACAATGAATTATAAGACAAATAAAGAGAGTAGAAGTTGAATTCTTATAGGAAATTTTGCAAACCATTACAAGTGCATTGATAGTATGAGCCTTATTATAATGCATTAAGTTAGAGCAAGTGTTCTTAGAAATTGTATTGATTCTATGTAAACTGATTTGATTGACTCGTGTAATGAACTCATTGACTT